CAGGGATGTGAACACTAACCACTAAGGGTTGTGTAGAAGATTAAAGCACAGAGATGCCCAGCATGGCACCACACACATAGTAGGACTCAAATAATGTTCGTTTTTTTTCCCTCCCATCTTTACCAAGATCTTGCCAGACAAAATATGAAAAGTTTGGTGAAACTATGAAAAAGATGAGCTTGTAGGCCATGGATGGCGTATTCATGAATGCGTGTAGGAGGGGTTTTTAGGCTCGATCAAAACAAAAGGAGCTGCGATGAAGAGGAGAGCCAAGCCACTCCCTACCGGAGGGGAAGGCGGGGGTGATCAAGGTGGCCTTGGCATACACTGGCATTCCTAACCATCATCTGTTGCGTGGGACCTGGAGGAAGCTGAAGCCGAGGGTGAGGATGTTTCTCCTCCGCTGGCGGAGCCAGACAGACGATGAGGTTCTGGAAATTTTCCGGGTTGCTTTCTCAGATCAAGGGCCTTTGTCATTAAGGACCTCAAGAAGTGGGATCATCCTAGTGACCGTTCCCAAGCCTGCGCTTCTTCAGGACAAGGCAGGACTTCCGGACGCTCTGAACTGATAGTCACAGCTTCACCGGAAGTTTCTTCACTTGCTCAAAGGGCCCAAGGGGGAGATCCGAGCTGGGCGGGGGCACCGCGCAGAGGCTCCCTCGAGGCCCGTCACTTCACTCTGCAGGACCACCCCAAGTTCGAGAGCCACAGGCCATCTGGCAGAAATGATTCCCTGATTCTGATGTGCCTACGTGAGTGGCATTTCTGTGGCTGTCTCCACAGAGCAAACCTAAGAATGTCTCTGAATTTTCAGAATCTGCCCTATTTGCAGAGTCTTGGTTTAACAGTAACTGATAAAGCGCAGTGAACTCTGCGCACCAAAGAAAGCAACGGGCTCCCTCTCCTTTTCACACTTGGGAATTTAACGTTCCAAGCCAGCCTGCAGTTTTTATGATATTTGTGGTCCAACTCTGCCCGAAGTTTGCCCAAAGATTTCCAGAATACACATTTCTAGAAATTAAATAAGCTCCATTAACAGGCGTATACACCTAAAGTCAAGATGGGAGACGCAGCCTAAAATACACCCCGAGTCCTCAAGTGATTCATTCTGTTAACACCACACTGGTCAATGATGAGCATCGGGCCCACTGTTTCTGTGCAATTTTATGCAAATGAAGATAGTTTAGGGCTACTTTTATTTTACGGCTGAAATCCAAAATGCTAAACAACAAGAATATGTTATTCAAAAAATAATGATGCAGCCACACGCATGTGGTTATCAAATTAAATGGTCCACCAGTGAAAAATCTTGGCTAAAAAGGACAAGACTCAGCCTAGCCCAAAGCCATTTGACTATTTGGGTAACGTTGGACAAGTCTATTTCTCAATTCCCTCCAAGGAAGAGGGATGCCAATCATTGCCTCAGAGGGCCTCTGGGAGGATCGAATGAGCTGTGTATAAACTACATAACACAGTAGCTGGATCATGGTAGGCCCTCAGCAAATACAAGCTCCATCTCAACCTGCACCCCCCATCCTGCCCTCTCTCCAATGTCTAGGCTCTACATGAAATCAACTGCCAGCCCACTGTTACCTTTTCTTAGGAGTGGAAGCTAGCATGGTGGAGATGTGGTGATAAAACAAGCATTTACTGAACATCTACCATGGGCCAGACATGGTGCTAAGGTATATATCTCATTATCACACTTAATAATAACAACATTAAATTATTATTAACATTATTACCAATGACAACACTATCAGGGAGGTACTAATATAACCCCCATTTTAACAACGGGGAAACTGAGGACAGGTAACTAGCCCAAGGTCACATATCCAGGAGGCGGGCAGTGCCAGGATCTGAACCCAGGCAGTCTGGGCTCTTCAACACTGAGCTAAGCTGCCTGGCCCTGAGCGGGGCTGGAGAGAGGTCAAGGACGATGGATGCCTGGCAGGCCAGGCATGGAGAGTGGGAGCCACAGGGTTGACGGCTGTTCCACACCCTCCCAGGCCCAAGCGGGAGGCTGTGCGCTCTGGATGCAGGACTCACACAACCCAGCTTTGCAAAACGGCATTCCTTAGTCCTGACTAAAATAACCTTTTAGAAACTCACCTGCAAGCCTACCTTCTAAGGTCCTGAACATTAGCAACACTTCTTACAACATCCTGTCTCCTGCCATGTACTCTCCTCCTGGCAGCCAGAATGATCCTTTTAAAAACCGAATTGATGCCACTCTTCTGTCCAAAATCCCCAGTGGTTCCCCACCTCCAAGGCCCTAAAGAGCCACATCAGCCTCCTTGCTGTTGCTCCAATATGATACACAAATTCCTGCCCCAGGGCCCTGCACCTACGATTCCCCCACCTACTATTCTCTCTGCCTGAAATGTGCTTCTCTCATGATTGCTTGGCTCAGTCCCTCATCTCCTTCAGATCCTTGTTCAAATGCCACCTTCCTGGGGATGCAATACTTCCCTCTGGTTCACTAATCCCCTTCCCTGCTTTCCCCCATAGCACCTTTTACCACCTGACATACCACATAGTTTATGCATTTATTATGTCTCTCCCACTTCCACTAGAACATCAACTCCATAAGGCCAGGGTTGCTGTCTGCTGTTCATTACTATATATCCAGCACTGGGTCATAGGTCAGACTCTGGCATTTAGCAGGTGTTCCGTAAGCATTTGTGGAATGAATGACCGAGAATGATTTTTCACCTTCCCCCCACCCCAACAATCTCCCTGTCTACTCAGTCCTGATCACTTGGTTAGGCAGAGAACACGTGAGTCCCTTAACCTCTTCCACCCCTGGCTTCCTTATCTCCAAATGAGAGCGCTGGAGTAGGTGATCTGCAGAGTCCTTCCACGCCTGAAAACCTTCAACTGACAACAAAAGGCAACAATTCTTCACCACAGCAAGCCCGTGGCTTCATTTACTTGATTGTAAAAACCACATTTCCTTTAGTATTTTCCACAGCCAAGGCCCCGCAGCCCCCATGCCCCCAGAATAAGTGAGGTTTGGCTGAGCTGTGCTCTGTGACTTGTAACCTGCACACCAGGTCAGCATTAACCTCAAGTGCTGGGATCACTGGTCTTGTAAAATCGACCCAGGTTGGGTTACAAGGAAATAAACCAAACCACATTCGGTTGTCTCTTAGGATCAGAAACACCATCTCTCCTTGTCCCCCTCAATTTCACACTAATTCCTGAGCAGCCCATGCTGTTGGTTTTGGGGTTTAGCCAGAGGCCCTCTGGAGAAGTAACAAAATGGGGTGTTCTGGGCCAAAAGGAAGGTGCTGGGAGGAAAGTAGACCCTGGTGTGTAAGAGAGCGTGTTGTGGCACAGCTGGGAGCTCAGGGGAAGCCCATGTCAGAGGGTCGCGGGTCCTTCAAGGCCATTCCATCTAGCCTACCTCTGACCCCAGGGAGCCTTGGGGCTTTGTTTCCCCATCTGAAACAGGGACTAAGGGAGTCTAATGCTCCACAAAGTGCCTACAAGTCTAAGCCCCACTTGGCCAATCTAACTCAGGCCAGGGTCAAGTTCACCAGCATCAGCTAAGGCCTACATTGACATTCTCTTGATGTTTAAGGCGTAAGTCACTTCTCAGACTGAATGCTGGGTCACTGTATAACATTACTGCTTTGGTCTTTCAAAGATGCGCTACTAGCTTTAATGACAGAATCAATATAAACTCACTTGTTAGCTCCTTTGGAGTCCTTGCCTTCTTGACAAGCCCCCAGCCTATGGCAGAGCCGATGGCCCCTAACAGTCTCCGCTAACACCTATTAGCTGATCACTTCATACCAAGAAGTGAGCGGGCACAGTGGTTAAGCATGAGCATCGGAGGAGTCAGACCTGAGTGAGCATCCTGGCTGGCCTGCTCACTTCCAACTGGGAGGCCTGAAGCCCAAACACATCTCTGTGCTTCAGCTTCCTCGTCTGTAAAGTGGGAATAAGAGCACCTCCCACTTAGGGCTGTTATAAAGATCACATGAATTTTTAATAGTAAGTTGATATATGTAAGTCACGTAGTCGGGAGCTGACATGTAAGTGCTGACTCAATGGTAGTCATAATTATTAGAAATTTCTTCAAATGACACATGACCCTAGGGTTTGGATTGGTCCTTCCTGGGGTATATTCTGGCATCTTGGTAATAATACGGGGCTCCGTGACTGAGTATATTCAAGCCTAGGCTAGTCACGGGGAGCAAAGAGATGGCACGCATGCCACCCACCCGCTCCCCTGACTGGGCAGGCATCTCTAATCTATCTCAGCACTCTTCTCCCTCCCCCTGCAGCCGTGGGCTGCTAAGACCCAATACAGAGCTCCAGGCAGCCACTAGGACTATGGGGAAACCCGCCTGCTGTCCCCTGACAACAGGCAGATATGCTGGCGTGGGAGATTCATGCACGAAGGCAAAGACCACTTCGCGTGACAATCATGAGAAACGGATGGAGCCTTGTCTTTTCCCTGCTATAGACCCAGCACTTTGAACAGTGCCTGCCACGCAGCAGACACTCAAATATCTGTTGGATGAATAAATTAGCATCAAATACATCTGGGCCCGTAGCACACAGCACTGGGCCTAACCTAGCAGGTGCTCAATGAATGAGGGAGGACGGTGGGATAGGCTTGCTCGACCCTCACTGGAGCTCACTGTTTCTGAACAGAGAGTGCACCCAGCTCCGGCAGGTTCAAGGCCTCGACACAGCCACTCACTCATCACATGACCCTGAGCAGGACCTTTCCTCCCCAACTTGAGCAGCCAAAGGCCCGTTGAGGATTGAGTCATCCTTGGTTCCAGCCACAGGTGCCCACAGAGGACACCAGGAGGTCTGGAGAGTGCTGCCCACAACAGTACATCCTCCAGGGAAGTACGGATACTTCTCAGCAAAGGGGCCTGGCCCGGACCATCCATCCCTTCGGGAGGAAGAAAGAGGCAAACCAGGGAGAGGTGGCTGCTAGTGGTGAGGGAGGCGTGGTGAGGTGAGGGCGTACCTACCTGCTCGCCGTGCTTTTCCGTCCAGCCGCACTGGCTCCGTCAGCCTGCAAAAGGAACCCAAACACCTGCATTAGCCAAGGGGGGAGACACAGAATTCTACCCTCTGCCACCCCACCAGGCTGCTGCCCAGCACAGCCTTGGGACACAGGGGTGAGCTGGCCCTGTCCCCTGCTCCATTCCTTCAGGCTGGAAAACTCTGCCCCCAGTGGTGAGAGGGAGTCAGCACACCCCCAACCCACATTTGCTGGGCCCTTTAAATCCAGCGGAGCACCCATTGCCAACACAAACCCAGCAACCACAGAACCCTGGGGACTCGGTGAAAAGTAAGTAACCAGCTAAATCTGAGATTGAATTGCACCATTTTTATTTTCAGCTGGGATTTCCAATAAAACAGTAGCCGCAGATTTATTCCCACCAACCGGAGGGGGGAAATTCATTTATGTTAAAATATTCTGTCCCCCAACCCTCTGAGTAGGGGGAGGCGAGAGAGTGCTGGTTCCTAATCTCTTTATTTGGGGGCGGGGGTGGGGTGGGGAAATAAGGCTGACCAAATTAAATTTTCAGAAATCATAAAATTTCCGATGGAGAGACTGAGGCCCTGGGGGAGGAGGAAGCTGCCTGCAGTCTCATGAGGACTGAGGGACAGAGACCTGGGGATCCTGACTCCCAGGCCAGTGCTGGGGGGACCGCGATGCGGAGGCCACAGACATGGGGGAAGGCCCAGGTTCCCCACCACCCCTGGTTGGAGAAGCAGCCCCTCGCTTTGTGCAAACGTTTAAAATAATGTAGCTTCAAAATGCTGGCACACACGTGTTCCCAGATTCAGAATCCTTCCAATTTTAGAAAGGTAATGTTGCCACGTGTGTTCTGCATTTGGAAACAACCCTGGCGGGGTCTGGGGAGCCCCCAGGACTCAAGCACATTGATGTTCCTACAGAGAAACTTACACAGTGAGCCCCACTGGATAGATGAAGAGGGCAACTAGCCTGTTCTCCCTGAGGTCAAGTCCTGCCACTTCATCAGCGACAAAAAAATCTTTCTGTTTTCCAACTTTTCGAATTTCAGGATTGGATGAAGGATAGATGACCTAAAATAAACAGCAGCCGCTACCTATTGATGAGTGCTTATGGGAAGTTGCAAACTGGCAAAACCAGATGGCGGACTTCAATCCAAAGTGTAAATATCTAAAAGTAAAGGCATTTCACCCCCACTAGCCCCCCACACACACACAAAGGCCACATTTCAGCTTCTCTTTAAAAACCAGTTAATCCAGCAACACAGTCCCCACATGGCCATAGTCAGATACCTCCTACCCTTCCCTCTCGCCTCTTACACAGCCCTCCAGCCTGGCCCCTGTGGGCATCCAGATGCTCTCCCCCTGGAGAACTTCCCAGCAGGTGCTAGTGTACGACATTACATGCCGCTTATTTAATCCTCTCAATAGGTCCCCCAACACACATACACAATATTCCCATTTTACGGGTTCTGCACAGAGGGTCCTTCAGCCACTGATCCAATACCCCATGGCTACAAGCCCAGGTCTGGGTGACTCCAGCGCCTACCTTCTCAGCTCTGTAATATTTTATTGTCCGCCAACATCCAGGAGAGCTAATGGAGAAATGGGGTGAGCCTATACCACCCCGACTGTCCACAGGAGGGAAGTAGAAAGGTGAAGGACAAATGGGGAGGCAGAAGCATGAGGCCTGGGCAGGAGAAATTAATGGGATGCCGGTGTATTATTTCAGTAGAAGAAACAAAGCAGAAAATGGTTTGCATATCATTTCACTGGGAGCAGAAGAACAGGATCAATTACAGCCTCTCTCCGACACCGCATTCCTCAAAACTTGTCTGTAAAGCGAGCGGGAAGTAAGAGGCAGAAGTGGCAAGGGGTGGGAATTCTGCCCCAGAGAGCCTAAAAAAACGGTACAATCCCAAATGACCTCTCGCCTTCCAGACTCAACTCTAGCCTTCGATTTCTAGCATTTCATACATATTTTTAATGTTGTCTTTTGTTGTCCTTTTCCTTCATAATTTCACACAGAGTTGACTACAAATACAGGGAACGTGGCTGGGTACGAGAGAAGATTCTGTTTTTTGCACACCTGATCATCCCCAGCTACCGTGCCCTTTTATGATGCTTATGATAATGGAGCTTTGTATCACTGCTAGCAACACTAATTTTTGTTTTCCATCCATTTTTATAAATAGAGACAAAGTGCGAATAAAAATGTTCAAATAGTTGTCTAAACAAATCCCTTTGCAGAGACTAAGGTGGTGGCACAAGGGAAAACAAAGCGATGGAGGAGGAGTGCTACCCTGGCAGGAGTAGAGCTGATGGACAATGGGCACAAGTCAGAACTGTCGAAAATAGCACCTGTCAATCACAGCAGCTGTCAATCACAGCATGCCGGCCTGCATCTAGACCCCACCATAATGACAAGGTCGGCCTCTCGGGCCCTCCCAGCCCCAGTTGAAGCCCGCAGTGCTAAAGGCGCCAACTCTCAGTGGTAAAGCTCCCTAAGAGGCCAGGCCAGCTTGCTGCGTGTCCTCACCAATCAATACATCGTAGCGACCCCTACTGTTCCAATCAGTTGCACCGCTGACACTGCCGTTTTCCTAGGCCCCAAGATTCTAATACCAGCAAATTCATGTGACACAACCAGAACTGCAAACTCAGGGTAATCTGACTTGATCTCAATGTGAAGTTTAAGAGGACAGTGTTTAGACTCAGGCGGTCTGCATTCGAGTCCTGGTTTTGCCATTTCCTAGCTGTATGCTCTTAGGCAAGTCTCCTCATCTGCAAAACGGCAATACAGTAATCCCAGGACCTCCAACATGGGGCTGGCATGAGACTTAATACAAGGTAACTTACACAGAGTAGCGCAGGTAAACATACTTAGCAGGGCTCAGCTGCAGAGCCGGCCTGGGCAGCACCAGGGGTCTCCCCGGCCTGTCTCAGGCCTGATCTGAATCCCAGGCTGCAAGTCAGCATCTCATGAGCTTCCACCTAACCCCCCACCACTGAACACGGTGGTGCAGACAGAGTACGAAGCGCAGGCCAGGCATGCGTTGCAATCGCTTAAGTAATGGAACCTCTACTGCTGTCGCCACTACTACTGGGCCATGTGCGCCTAGAGGATATGCAGCTTCCTGCCCAGGCTCTGTCTGGGTCTCCCTTTGAACCTTGGGCAAGCTTTCCTTTCCCTGGACCTGAGCTTGCCCATAGGCAAGAATGGGAGCAGGAGCAGGAGAGCTAAGTCAGGTCATCTCCAACCTCTACGTTCCTCTCTGTCATTCTATGTGGAGTTGACCCAACCTTACCCAAGCCCTCGATGGCAAATGAAATGTGCTGGGGACAGTGGGCCATGAGAGACCCTCCTGCTCACTCTCTCAGAGGTGGGGGTAGAGACACCCAGACACCCCCAGCTCCCCATCAGGGTACCTAGCCCCATCCATTCCTTATATACCGGCTTCTCCTTAGAACCTGAGCAAGGCTATTTTTGGTTCCATTCAACCCTCCTCTTCCCTCCCCAAATGAATGTTAAGTTGCTCTTTTCCATTCTCTTATTAAGGATTTTCTTGGAAAGAAAATATTATTCCAAACCCAGAAATTTTATTTCTAAATTTGTGCAAATGTAAGTTGTAATACATTAGCTGCATTTCACATTTTGTGCAAATGGCAGAAACAGGCAATTCGTGTGCTACGGGATGGGGGCTGGCCAACGATTTCGATAAAATAAACCCTTTTTTAATTTAAATGCTAATGCACTGAATTAAAATTTAATAACTGAGGAAATTGAAAAGCCGAGCAGGAATATTGGAAATAAATCCAAGCAGAAACAGCTGAAATTAAAAATTCTAGAGAGTGGGAGGATAGCAGCTAAGCTGTCTTATATGATTACATTTTTTTTTTTTTTTTTCAGAATGAAGCAAAAAAAAAAAAATCCTATCTCTCGCTGGCTCTGGGGCAGTAAATCCACAGTGCTGTGATTTATTGCTCAATTTTCCTGAGGGAAAAAGGCTTTCTTTCATGCTGAAATATTTCATAAATTTCAAGCCAGCATAAATTCTTAATTTAAAAGTTATGGAGGTCACATTTAGTGCACTGGTACGGTTCCAAAATCTTAAAGGAATAGAGCAACCAAAAACAAAAAAAAAAAAGCAAATAGGAGGGGCAGAATTTGCTTCTTTTTTCCCTCCCCCTTTTTGGTTTTAATTCACAAGTTGAAATTTCATTATTAAAGATTCCTCCTGGATGGATGAAACCCAAGCACGTGGGGACCTGGTGTGTATTTGGAAATCTGCCGCACAAGATGAAGAGATAAAGATTTAATTCAATTATAAAAAGGCTTTTTTTCCCCCCTTTAAGCCACTTGAGGAATTTCTGGTAAAAATTTCCTCCCTTCACTGCCCCGGAAGGGGTGAGGGTGGGGGAGGGTGGCCAATGTAATGGCTTCTCTTAGATCTCCAATCTTTTGTGCACACTGATATATTCATTTGTTATACAGCTGTTCAGCGGCGGAAAGAATGCTGGGGCGCCCATAATTCTAAGCAAATCAATCAAAAATTAATGATTTGTCATGCTTGCACAATGGAGGAAAACAGCTCCTTGGGTCCTGGCTGCCTGATCTCAAAGAATGAAATGCCTTTCTTGGAAAAGAGAGCCGAGCCAGAGGTTCAGGGAGGCTGGGGTGCCACAGCGAATGCGGGGGCTCACGGTTCCCCCAGCTCGGAGGGGATGGAGGGGGCCACCGTGCTGGGAGGGGGCATCTCCAACATGGCACCTCGGCCAGCCAAGCCCAGGGCCTGGCGCAGCACATTTCCGTGGGGGTCTAACTAGGATCTTGCCTTTTCCCTCCCCCACTGAAACTCCAAAATTGCTTCCTCTCTGGAGACGGCAAGGACTCCCCCCTCCCGCATCAGATTGGATTGATCCTGTTCACTGTTCGCCAACCCTGCTAACATCCCCCCACCAGTGCCTTTCACCAACTCAACGGGTCTAGGACCACGGTTCCTGCAGCACCTGCCTGCCCCCAGACTGTGCACTCCTCCTGGACAAAGCCAATGTCTCTCATGTGGCCATGTCTCC